AAGGAAAACACGGAATACAATGGACAGCTCAGAATCAGTTAGACGATTTGGACTTCGCAGATGACCTAGCCCTCCTATCACGTACACATGAACAGATGCAGACAAAGACAGGCAGTGTAGCAGCAGTCTCTGCATCAGTAGGCCTCAGTATACACAAAGGGAAAACTAAGGTCCTCAAATTCAAAGCGGAAAACAACAATCCAATCACTCTTGATGGCGAAACTCTGGAAGATGTAGAATCCTCCACATACCTGGGAAGCATCATCGATGAACAAAGAGGATCAGATGCAGACGTAAAGGCAAGGATTGGCAAAGCAAGGGTCGCATTCCTACAATTGAAGAACATATGGAACTCAAAACAACTTTTAACCAATATCAAAGTGAGAATCTTCAATACGAACGTCAAGGCAGTTCTACTGTATGTACGGAGCTGAAACTTGGAGAACTACAACAACCACCATCAAGAAGCTACACGTATTTATAAATAGCTGTCTTCGCAAAATACTCAACATCCATTGGCCGGATGCCGTCAGCAACAGCCTTTTGTGGGAGAGAACAAACCAGCTTCCAGCTGAAGAGGAAATTAGGAAAAGATGATGGAAATGGATAGGACACACATTGAGGAAATCATCGAACTGCATCACGAGACAAGCCGTAACTTGTAATCCTGAAGGGAAGCGGAAAAGAGGAAGGCCGAAGAACACGTTACGTCGGGACATGGAATCAGATATGAAAAGGATGAATAACAACTGGAAGGAGCTGGATAGGATTTCCCAGGTCATGGTTGGATGGCGAATGCTGGTGAGCGGCCTATGTTCCTTCATGAGGAGTAACAGGCGTTGGTAAGTAAGTAAGTAACTCCTGCCTAAGGAATTCCAATCCAAATATTCTCATTCTGTAATTACGTTGTTCATGACTCCTACCCATCTTTCCTCGTTACGATATGAGCTTCGCACAGTCTAAACGTCTCATAATCAGAGAGATCCTGAGGCGCTTGGACGCGCATAAATCTGCCGACTCTGGTATTTCACCCAGAGTCCCTAATGAATATGAAAACTTTGATTACTTCCCTCTTGCTACTTTCATCAAGTATTTCTAAGGTATTGGTAAACCACCCTCTAACTGAAAGAATGTGAGTCGTGCCAGTAAATAAAGAGGGTAACAATCGGTAAGAGTCCAGTTACCAGCTGATTTCCTTGCTCTCGGCAGTAGCGAAGGTCACGGAAAAAGTTAATAACTTGCCACTCCTCGAATAAATTCAAGCCGACTCCATTTTTTCTGCGTAAAAAGGTTTCGTATCCGGAAAACATATAGTGCAAATTTGTTAACTACCTTGGATGGCCAGTCCACGTAACAGGAACTCAATCTTTCAGAGAAAACTATCTTTTAAGACTTTTTCGAGATGTTAGAGAGGGTTGAACACTGGATTTTACTCCACGAATTAGATTCCAAAGGTATAAGTGTGTCTGATGACATGGATCTCAAAATACGTAACTAGGAGATTAAAATATGTCAAATTTTTATAACTCTGTTGGACTGGTTTTCTATGCCACGTGGGAAGCCTTTAAAAGTCAATCCTTGGATCATTCTTCTTCTAATTATGCATCAGTTTCCCTCTCAACTCTTCAGACTGTCAAATTATACAGCACGCAGATAGTTTTAAGACATAGGGTGAACAACTTGACACAAGTGGTATTCTGATCTTCCAAGAGGACTGATAAGGAGCAACTGGAATACCAAAAACGTTTCACGCAGTATTAATAAACACAAAGTCCCAAGGGTGATACTGTAGGCGCGTCTTCCCATTAGCAATCTGCAACCACTAAAGCATACTCACTCTTGAGGTTTTTTTTACTAGAACAGGTGGTTGCCTAACTTTTGGGTTATTGCCTTTAGTGTCTACTTCAGACACCATGCAGAAAAGACTCCGATGCTATGGCTCCTTACCCTGAGAAGAGCGTTTCTTTCACTGAATGTGCAAAAAAAGAACGAATAAAAAAGCAAAGTTAAAAATAAAGTATGATTAGCTCTCATTGCAAACTCCCAACTTACAGTCAGTTAAGCATCAGAGAACTGGAAGGACGAGTCCATGATGCACCACACTACTCACAGTTCGCGCTACGTGAACAGTCCACTGATACGTTTAAGGAAGTCAGTATGTGGTACTTAAAAAGTAACCAGTCAAGTGTAAACACAAAAGAGATTAAAGTCCGTGGTTTGAATAGGTAAGTTTCGGAACTCCCTGGAAAAAGCTACGGTGGTGTTATTCTTCGCTTAATTTTTCAAATGAAAGCTAAACGATTACTTTAGCACTGCAAGTACTACGGGAGACAACTCAAAGTGTTACTTTTCGATCCCTTATATTGTTAGTTGAACTGTTTAACCCCACAGTTTCCGAAAGGAATATGCCAAGAAGCGTACTCTACACCCACCAATTACACATTCAAACCATCCAGATACAGATCCAAGGAAACGAATATTCCACAGATTCTGCCAAAGAAAGTTGAGGCTGAGTGATAGCCACAAACAGCGCCAGTCTGGTTGATAATTCTTTGGTAGGCTGATACTCTGCGTCACAGACTACTTCGCCAAATTCGTAAAGTAAGACTATATTTAATCTTGGCGTAGTTGGAAATTGCTGATCTCATCGAATCTTAGTAGTTTGCTCAAATCAAATGACTCTGATCAAAAAACAATCAAAGAGCTCCCAGTAGTTATAGGGCAGGAAATGACAAAAAGATTGAAAGTCTTAAACTCATATTTCAAGGAAGTCAAATCCGTCCGTAGTTTAATTATTTAGGATCAAGCGGGATCAAAAGAAAATGATCCTGCTGAAAGGCATGTACACAATTTAGATTTATTTGAATCTGCAACCAAAAATGTACTGTCAGGAGAGGTTTCAGGGGCATATATCACTAAATTAGTAAGACTAAGTGAGTTGTAAGAGAATCCCAAACAAGATGGATTTTGAATTCAGTATTCGGAAGTTATGAAGAAAAAGATGTTTTACTAAATAACGCATGTAATACTCATAATTCGAATATTCTTATTCAGCCAGATTAGTTACTTGGGGATCCGGCCAGGCGGAAGAGTGCCATTACTGAGTTAAAAACTCGATGGCAAAATGGCAAAACAAACCTTGAGATACAGGATTTTCGGGCTGTTAGGTCTTGGAAGCAAGTGCTTCCGGGATATGAGTGGGTAGAACGAGCGATTCTCAAATCACCTTATATGTGTGCCACACAAACGCTCGTACTTTTAGGTATAAAACATCCCAGCTAAGTTTGATGGTGGATGAATAAGTTCCGGACATATTCGTTGTCACAGAAACGTGGCCCATTGTAGATGTAAACTGTTCGTTAATCATTGCAAGACACATTTGTATTAAAAGTGATAGTTATAAATCGCAAGGGAGAAGGCGTAATAATGTATGTTGGATGTCGTTTTCGTGTACAACCGGGCATGTCAGAAGGGCATGATAGTGGTACATATGAGGTAGCTTGTTCCCAAATTAAAGCAAGAAGTGTGTTAGTGACTAGAAGGAGTATGCCCTTGCCCACGATGTCTTGTCGTCGAAATTGTCTCAAGTCAAATCTGTTCTTACAATGAGAATGATTGTTGCCTCATCATTGAAGGTTTCAATGCGCCACACATCGACTGGGAAGAGCTTACAGCTACAGGTGAATGTTTTGACAGCAGCCTGTTGTTGATGTGCACTTGCACAATGTACCGAAAATTCGGCCTATATTGACTAAGAACATGACCGGTCATTACTGGACCTTGTCCTTGCACACCACTGTGGTGATTTCACCGGCGCTCAGTACTTCCTCCACTCTCAAAGTGATCATGTTGTACTGTGCTTTAGGTTTTGAACAAATAATATATAGTGTATTTGCCCCGCCCCGCCCAAGTACCTGGAGAACTAACATTCTGGCAATCACAGACTGTGCTTTTTCGACAAACTGTTTGGTCAATGAAGATTGGCTAACCGAAGACGACTGGGATAAATTTAAAGCCAGATTCGAGTCCGTAACATCACCAAACATCACATGGTCAACATCTAGGCTGTCACAGTGCCATCCACGGATTGATAAGGAAATTCGAAAGCTGATGAGGCGAAAGGAAACATTTCTAGGACTTTCTCTTGTCGACAGATCACGAATCATTTAAGTGTAAATACCGAAAAATCAGAAATATATGTCTAAAGACCATAGTCGTATCACCCACAGAAGACAGTTGGTATACGATAGCTTTACCTGCCCCAAACGATTGTTCTCGTACATTAAACGAAGTACAGAATGTAGTGATGGTATTCACCCATTACAGTCGCGCGAACACTCGGATAAACTAGTTGAATCAGATCTGGCCCAAGCTGAGACTTTACGAAACTATTTCAGAGGAGTCTACTCTACGAGTAGTGTTAACGATGCCTCTCATAACCACACCACAGAGACGCTAGCTACAGGATCTGTACGTGTGACTAAGGAAGCTGTTCTCTAATTGATCATTAACCTCAGACCTAGTGAGATACCGATTCCTGATAGTTTATAACCACGACCGCTACCATCTCTCGCGGACATTATTTCAGGGTCGCTCATGATGCTCTTCAACACGTCCCTTTCTTAAATTCAATTCTCTAAGGATTGGAAAGGTGCTTCAGCTAGTCCTATGTTTAAAGATGTTCGTGGACAAATCGTATCTAACTACAGACCTATAATTTTACCCGGGAGAGCGGTCAAGCTATTTAAAGAGATAATTTGGGTTAAGTTAATAAGTCACACACAATCATATGATTTGTTAACCCGTGAGCAACGCCGGTTTCGAAATAATCATTAATGCCTAAACAACTTACCCATAGAAAGAGGGGGTTGGACATTAACCCCAGACAATAATCAGTTTATCAATGCAATATTCATAGACTTTGGAAATGCATTTGGCAAGGCTTACTCAAACAAGTAGTCTCAACCTCATCAGTAAACATTTTCAAAAAGAAACCGAACCTTCATTGGGAATCGAATTGTGAGGAGTAATTCAATTGGTCAACCTACTATGCTTCTTACTGAAACCGAAGCTGATCCGCGCTATTCGAATCCGGCGCTATGTCGGTCGGTCAGTCCGGGACGGAGTTGTCTTTTGGTGTTATTAAAGTGGGTTTGGGGTTGCATCGCATTAATTGATGTTAGGATATTCTAGAAGACCCGTCAGGCTTTTCTCTAGCTAAACTGAAGGCAACTGCAGAGGCTATTGAACTAAAGTTAAAATTTAATCTTAACTAACAAAAATTCAGAGATAAAAAAAGTTTGATTGATGTTGCTTTACGGGGACGTATGCTGTGTCTACTTGCCTCAGACTCCATGGACGATGTGAAAACGCTTTTAAAAATGGGTGTTGCGGCGGCCTTAGCGAGTAAAATCTTCTTCCAGCTCTTAGTTTCTCTAATAGATTTGTGCTCTGCGCCGACTCCATTTTTGTTATTCGCGGATGTTTTTAACACCAAACCAATATCGCTTTGTGAAGAAATGTTTGGATTTATGGAGGAAACAATCATCACTTTGAAGGATGTATGTTTGACGTCTTCTCATGGTTGTTGTAGGTACCTTTATTTGCTTCAGGAAGAAATACATTATTAAGAATGTGTAATGGTTCGTTTGATCACTTTTCCTCGAAATATATCTGTTCAATGTAGACCTACTTAGACGCCTGTCAAAGTCACAGAATACTGTTTTTTGCGGCCAAATTCAACTCTTCTTAACGCGTTTATTTCCATTAGATGAAAAGTCTGGACTAAATTTTATGAGCAACTTTAACTCAGAAAAAGATGTGCTGTACAACAAAAATCCCGACCCAAGTGCTTTCAAGCATCAGGTGTCTCACGATCATACATCTGATGATTTGGAAGAGGGGGAGATGACTGATTCATCTACTCCCTTAGAAGTGGATGCCGGTCTCTATGTCAAATTTTGGTCTCTTCAGGAGTTCTTTAAGTCTCCGGCTTTGTGTTACGAGAAAGCTAAGTGGATGCGTTTCACAAGTAGCACAGACACAGTGTTAGATGTGTTTTCGAGTATTAAACTAATGGCAATAGAAGAAGGTGATATTTGCTCTCAGAGTAGCAGCGGAACGTTTTCCAAGTACCTTACAAGCGAGAAAGTAAGTGTTCTATGTATATGATGCACTGTATCAGTAAGCTAGTAACAAAGACTTTGTTTCACAGTTACTACTTTTTAATGATTGTATAACATTTTCTCGCAAATAAATGAGATGTATTATTTCGTTAATATAGTGCAAAATTGAGCATCTGAACTCAGATTATCTCAACGACAATGAATTCTAAACGTCTTTTATTTTTTGTACTTACCAGTTACTAGACTTGAGAAAGATTCAATAAATATTTCTTACGCTCCTGGTAATCGTTCTCACCGTAACTAACAAACTAATAATTTGTTATCTGATGGTACCAGTGGGTTAGTCCGTTTTCATCATGAATCATTAATTAGTCTATCAGATCTTGCTGGTTGTCTTGAAAGTGTTAATCGAGTACATAGGTCTCAGCTACAACTAAGCTCAATATATAGATGTCCCAGAAATAGCTCCTGAAAACATGTATGGAATGTTTTGTTATTCTTGAAAACAACATAGTCACACTAGCCTGCTCAGTGATGTATTATTAGTCTATGTCACATAGGTATCTTCAATACTTACAAAGCTCTCCGTTACAGACCGTAGGGTTTTTTGAAGAGCGATCGAAACTTCTATAGCGTTCATATCGAAGAGCTATGTCATACAGGACGTGAATTCGACTAATCCATGTTAATGTATCATTTCCATCTGAAATCGATGCGATATTGGAAATATTTGCGTAGTCAGTCGCAATGACACAAATGTAATTTCTTGCTGTCCACCCCTAGATCTTGATATGAAAAATCATCCTGTATTCGCCGCTCTGGTGTATTGTGACGAAATCTCCCGATGCACACTTATTTCTGGTCCTTACGTTGCTAATGATATTGTCTGATGACCACTTACCTGCTTTTTGTCCGGTCAGTAAGCAGTGAGTTTATATTTTATGCTGTTCGTGACTAATTCATTCTGACGGTGTCTGAACTTTCGTAATAATTTTATTTATTCTAGCTGCTAGATTTGCAACTTATGGATCCTAGTTTCCGGCGGTATATACTTGTTCAGCTACTAATCCTGTTTCAATATTTAACAACTACAGTTAAATTTAAGACGTAAGTCGAATAGTTTTTCTTCTCTTTTCCACGGTGTTTTGTAACATCCTTCAGTTTCTTAATCAATTTTAAATGCTATATTGAAAATTCCCATATTGTAAATCTAAACACTCAGTTAGTCAGCTACAACGTAGGACCAGGAACATATATGCGTCGGTCCAAGTTGCCACACCTCACTAGTACAACAAGATGAGCAAATTCATAGAAGTAGTCAACTCAATGGTAGTAATGTATTGAAAAAAACTGTGTATAAGGATGTAGTACAGGAAGAAAGAATTAGTTCGTAGAAAAGAGCCTACACAAGGTTTTTGTACTTCTAAGGTACACTTTTCAATGACAGACATTGTCACAGAACCTCTCGGTCTACAGAGTCAAATGCTGCTTTTAAGTCAAGAAAAACTATCATTGTTGGACGCCGATAAGCATGCGTGTGTTCTAAAATATGACGAATGGTGAATATGTGGTCGATACAGCCACGATCAGGTCTGAAGCCAGCCTGATTTCCTCGTGTTTTTGCAGTTCACGAGTCTGATAATTATTGAGGCTTATATTTTAGACACTATACTAGTCAAACTAATCCCCCTATAGTTACCATGGGATGATTTTAAGCCGTTCTTATACATTGGGACAATCAGTGGTTGTGATCAGTCAGATGGGACTATGTCCAACTCCCAGATTTGAGCTTAAATATTAGTCAAACTAATCGTTGAAATTGAACCACTATACTTAAAGACCTCTAAAGCCAATCCATCTGGACCACCTGCTCTTCCTCGTTTTAGATTAGCTATAGCTTTTTGAACTTCAACTAAAATGGGGAACCTGCTTCAATGTTCCATTCACACTGTCTGAAAATGGTGGGTAGTTGCAGAGTAGCTGAACTGCTCCTTAAAATTTTCCACCCGTCCTTCTAAACGTCTGGGCTGAGGGCGCAGATAAGTGTCGTCTTTTTCCAAGATAGTTTACTTACACTTGACTTCTTAATCCCATTTTCTTTTGTTAGTATGAAAATCTGTCTAGTGTTACCTACAACCGTTGTTTTTTCCATCTCTTTTGCTTTCATTGTCCACCACTGCTCACTGTCATTCCTTAGACTTTTGGTTAACCTAGATCCGACTTGTTTTCGTTCTTCATTGTGTTCATAGCCTGATGAGATGAGTTTACGAGAATCTATCAGTGGGATAGACTCAGTGGAAATCCACTGGTTTTTCGTGACCCTTTGTTTTGAATCACTAATAGATGTGTCTGCTGTTTCCACAGCTGTTCGTATATCTTTCCAAGTAACATTTGGGTCAGCCTTGTTTTCAGAAGTACCTAGGTGTGACCTCAGTTGTTCCGTTAATCTACTTGTAAATCTAAACAACACGTAAATAGATAATATTGTTTACAATTACATCATCAGGCTTGACTGTTATGTAGTACTATATGTATGCATATATAAATATACTAGACCGACCAAGTCAGTGATAACATTGAGAGAGATCATGTAAATAAACGCAACAATTAAAGATAAGAAATTGGTAGTGCGATGAATGGCGTACTATTTGCGATAAGAATATAAAAAGCTTTAATCAATATCTCACAATACAAAGTCAAAGACGTTGAAATAAGATGGAAAAGACAGCGGCAATAGGTAATAGCAGACAATTGTTCAGACTCGTTGAGGAAACCGGAATTAGGAACCCGACCGTTAGCGAAACAATCTCAGAGAAATATGGACATATTATTCATTCTCAATCTAGGAGATTGGATCAATGGGCAGAACACTTTAGGGATCAGTTCAGCTGGCCTTCAGCCACACTTCGGTTTCCCACGATCTCTAGTCAACCTGAATGGCAAGTTAATGTAGGTCCTCCGTCTCTTTACGAAGTTGAAAAGCCATCAGAAATCTGAAACGAGGGAGAGCAGCAGGCCCTAACAGGTTTACTCCTGAGATTTTTAAGGATGGTGGTCCAGTATTAGCAATGAGATTAACCGAGGTCTTAGGTAGAATTGGGGAACTGGACGTAATCCCATCTGACTGATCTCAATCACTGATTGTGCCAGTCTATAAGAAAGGACAAAAGTCCTCTTGTGACAGTCAGAGGAATTAGTTTGACTAATATAGTGTCTAAAATATTAGCTTCAATAATACTTCGACGCCCAATCAAAGCTCGTGAAGAGCAGATTAGAGAAAATCAGGCCGGTTTTCGACCTGGACGTGGTTGTATAGACCAGATATTCACACTACGTCAGGTTCTAGAACACAGACACACATTCAGACGCCCCACAATGGTATTATTTCCCGACCTTAAGGCGGCATTCGACTCTGTTGATCGTGAGGTTCTGTGGCAGTGTTTGCCACTGAAAGGAGTACCAAAGAAGTACATTAACCTTATAAAGGCTCTCTACTCGAACACAACTGGTCGAGTGAGAGCTTATGGCGAACTGTCATCAGAATTGGTTACCTCAAGTGGTGTTCGTCAGGGCTGTCCACTCTCCCCATTCTTGTTCAACTTTGTGGTCGACGTACTTTTAGAGATAACACTCTCCTAATCTAAATTTCCAGGGGTTGAACTTCTACCGGGAGGTTCACTTGTTGACTTAGAATATGCTGATGACATCGTTTTATTTGGTGAAGACGCTGACAAAATGCAGAGTCTTCTGACCACTCTAAGCAACAATGCAAGCATGTTCGGGATGCGATTCTCTCCCTCGAAATGCAAAATGTTGCTTCAGGATTGGGTTACATCGACACCCGAACTAGTGATAGGGAGTGAAGTAGTTGAGTGTGTCGACCGCTTCACTTATCTTGGAAGTCTCATCGGCCCTTGTGGTTTGGTGTGTGACGAAATCTCAGCACGGATACAGAAGGCTCGACTAGCTTTTGCCAACTTGCGTCATTTATGGCGTAGGCGAGATATCCGTCTATCAACCAAAGGACGGGTTTACTGCGCAGCAGCTCGTTCCGTCCTACTTTATGGCAGTGAAACATGGCCGGTAAGAGTAAAGGATATCCGTAGGCTACTAGTATTTGATCATAGGTGTCTTCGAAACATTGCTCGTATATCATAGGACCATCGAGTAAGTAACACAGTTGTTAGGAAACGGGTACTAGGTAAGGATGGCAAATCAGTTGATGAAGTAGTGAAACTTTATCAGTTGAGATGGCTGGGACACGTGTTACGTATGCCCAACGACCGACTGCCTCGACGTGCTATGTTCAATGGTATAGGAGTAGGTTGGAAGAAAGCTAGGGGCGGCCAAACCAAAACATGGCACAAGTCCATGAAGTCACTGACAAGTGTACTGAGTCATGTTGGTAGGTGTAGACTACCTGGTTGGGGACCACGAGATGATAGCAACCGATGGTTAGAGACGTTGAATGACATGGCTCAAAATCGTTTGCAATGGCGCAGGTGCATCCACTCTCTGTGTTCTCCCAAATTCTAATCTTCTGAATTCTTCATGTCCCTTTTCCTCTTTCCAAATTTATTTCACTGGATTATACTCTTTAAATAACATCTCCGAACCCTAATCTTCCCGATTACTGCTTATACTCTTGCTACCTCTACCACTACGGGATTTGAATCGACCACTGCATCTCTGTGCTAATGTGGTGTGGCAACTCGAACTGATGTACGTACGTACGAAGATCTACGTTGTGACTGACTGACTGAATCAAAAATTACTGAGATTACGTGATGAGAATTGTCCAAATAATTCAGTGAGTCAACCAGTTTCAACATAGAACCTGGTACGTATGTGCATCAGTTCAAGTTGACATACTTTATTACACAGAGATGAAATTGTCAAGCCGAATCCTAGAGTAGTAGAGTTATTAGCAGTATCAGTGGTAATAGAGAAGATTAGGCACCGAAGATCCGATTCAAGAAAATATGAATTAGTAAAATAAAAACCCTGTTCACGTTTACTGTAATTCTTTGGTACACCTTTTAATGTCAAACATTGCCGCAGAACCTCACTATCGACCGAGTCGAACTCCGCCTTTGTCTCGATGAATAGAACTGTCGTCAAACGCCGAAAAGTTTGTCTATATTCCAGAAATTGCCTAAGGTGAATATTTGGTCTGCACATCTACGTTCAGGTCTAAAACCAGCCTGGTTTTCTCGGGTTCTCTCTTCATGGGTTCCAGCTAGACGTTAAAATATTGTTGAGGTCAGCATTTTATACACCATATTAGGTAAACTGATTCTTCTGTGATTGTAAAAAAAGGATTTTTGTCCTTTATAAACTGGAACAATCAGCGACCGTGACCAATCAAACGGGATCATGTCCAGTTCCCAGATTTTGGCTGAGATTTCAGTTAATCTAACTGTTAAAACTGGGCCAGTGTCTCTAAAAGCCTCAGAGGTCAGTCCATCAGACCTTGCTGCTCTCTCTCGCTTTAGATTACTTATGGCCTTTTCAAACTCGCTAAGAGTTGGAAGACTTACGTTAATTTGCCACTCAAGTTGCTTGGAGATAATGGGTAACTCGTGTGGCTGAAAACCAGTTGAAATGTTTCCTAAAGTGTTCTACTTATCGGTCTGATTTTCTGGAGTGTGAAAGGTAACCCTATTTTTTCGGAGATGGGTCTTTGTAAAGTATATCAATTTATCTTTGTCCGTTGTTCTACATAGAGATCGCTACTTTAAGTGATTTCAGTTGTTTTACAAAAACGCTTTCCAGACATTGAATGGTTTCCTGGAACGGCGAAAATTTTCTTTAACGTTGTTTTTCATATGTATTATGTCTTGTGAGTTTGTTTTCATCTAAATGGTGTACGGGGTTCCTCAATTAAGATCGTTAGATTTGTTTTCATCCCGAGTATTTCAGTACATTTGTTATCTACCAACTAAAGTTGTCTTATGTTTACAACAGTCTTCCCTGGTTTATGTAATTGGCTAGTGTCAATAGAATAGGCGTATGAGTGTCCTAACTTATTTTTCGTTTTAAAATCCAAGAAAACTTTTCCCACAGTCTAGATGCTTGATTTTTGGTATCACGACCCGTCACTATGATCGATTCTTTTGTTTGTTATGCTTTATTTCATAAGTATTTTATTTCTTGTTAGTTTAATTCACTATAAAAGGCATCCTTTATAATAGATTACACTCTGATATCAGGTTTGGGTAATGCCTAGTTCGTATCTTAGTAATAAATAACGGTAAAAAAATTTACAAAGCCGTAACTCGTTTGCGATTGTGTTCTAGTTGATGTCCATTGTTCACAGAAATGTATTTCTTAATGATCAATCATTAGTTGTCAGGATTTTTTTTCATTTATTAGGAATGGAAACAATATGAGTTTATTAAGCTGTTTGGTTACGATTTGACAATATGCTAGCTCCAGTTTTTAGATGGGCATTTTCCTCAGCATAGAGTTGGTATAGTGTAAAATGAATTGTCAGTCAAAATCATATTAAACTCCTTTGCCAATTCATTTTTGTCCCTAAAAGGGTAACTTTGAAATTGTTACGCTATTGGCTGTTCTAAAGCGAACAATTCCTAAGGTCGATTTTGAACAAACTTTCTTGTTATTATACATTTGTTTACTTTCAGTAAGCATTTAATGTAATCATTCAGTAGCTGGTATTTTTCCGTTTCCCCTAGAATTGACCAAGTACTTAGTGAGGATCAGCGCGCTTGGGTTAATCAAAGACATGAAGTAGTGTTACGACTGTTATCCTCTAATAGTCCAAACAATTCTTCGGGTGGTACGTTTGTTTCTACAGTAGAACGCATTCTGGAACGTGAAAGTTATTGGAATAAATGGAAGAACGACGGATGCCCTTCATTCGTACGAAATCCTGAAAAATCTAGGTTATCTGTTAGGCAAGTTCTACTTTTTGCGAGAAGTTATTTTATTTGGGAAAGACGTTTGACTTATGGTAACTTCATGTTTGTTCTTGTAGGAAAAGGCATATAAACCCCTTAGTTACTCGTACTGGTCAGAAAGTTTATCGTTTTGGTAATCGAGAGCTAGATAAATTATGGAATGTATGTCCGGATAATTTAGCTGCTTGTCGGGACAAACGGCGAGTTTTCAATCCAGATCTTCATTCCTATTTTCAAGATGCTATCATGGAAATGGACCCAGCGGAAAAAGTTGAAGAGGAATACAAGTAATTTTTTCATGATATAGCCTCAGTTTTTGAATTGATAATCTATCGTTCACTATTTATACTTTATATATTTAAATATTTCACGGTTATTTACACCAACAAAGCGGTGTTGGACTTGGTGGCAGTTTAATTTAGAAGAGGCATCCAAGAGAAGTTAATAAATTATGAGAATAAAAACCAATAATAGTAATTATTGGTAGTAAAGCACTAGAAACGCAAAGTCTGAGATCGGAGATAGAGAAGGTTCACATGACATTATCCACTATTTATGGTGTCTGTGCCGGTGGGGTACATTCCAAAAAATATTTTCTTACCTGTGTTTACAGAGTGCTTAGCTTTTAAACAAACATACAAACTATTATTAAGTCTGATGAAAGTAATTAAGTTTTTCTAAAATATCTAGAGCTCATAACCATATTCAAAGCTTTCATGATGATCCCAAGGGTAAAATGTACCGCTGCAATTTGGATTGAATGTTCTACAACCATAGGATATTAGTCTCAATGACTTATGGAGCCAGAGTTGTTCGGATATATTTGCAAACGCTGACGGTAGCACGTAAAAAAACTAATTGATTTGACTTCTTAATTTCACTGTAAGGACTTCTGTGAATATTTCATTTTGATCTTCAAAGCCCCTTTAAAAATTCAAAAGACAGATTATGTTGCATAAAAAGAACGTAGTTTCAAGTTAAGAAAATGCCAAACATTTTGTGTTTAGCTACCTTTTTACACTTACCTGAAGATGTACGAGATTTATTTCCTAGCAATCGTACGTTTTATGCATGTTTCAGATCGATTAATAAAGATGAATGGAGCTGGCGCGCTCTTCGTTTTCTTTCAAGAAAGTGTCCACATTTTTACATCAACTGGAACCCACCTGGACGACCTGTAAAGGACTATTTATCAGTTATTCTCACTGAGAAAATTCAATCTGAGGTTAGTTACCTTCAGACTACGTTTTAAGGAAAAAATTCACTTTTTGAAACTAATAGATGACTATATAATTCTTAACTGATATAATCCCCTCAAAGGTTAGTAGTTACAGTTATTTCCGTGATGAAGTTTATGCTTTTCATCTGATTTTCATTGTCCTATTCAATGTGGATTGTTGTCTTTTTTTAAAAGACAATAAATTTTGAAGGACTAAAGTGTGGGTTAGTTCGCTATATCCATGGAAGAATATTGAACATTTGTGAGTGAACTAGTTTATCTAACGTGTTTGTATTCATGTTTTCTCACATTCATCATGTTCGTATTAAGTTTGTCTATAAAATTGATTTAAAGAGATATAACTTTCTAAATCTATAAACTAAATTTCTTCTGACTTTGGTGTTTTACAATTTTGAAGTAAACTATCCAAACATTTTGATTGTCTCTTACTTCAAGAATACATTTATAGGTTGAAAGGGAAACTATCCTAGAACTATATTTTCCTATTGATCCTTGCAGTTTCTGTGATATTCTTGTAACCCAAAGTCATACACTGTTCCAACTCAGTTGACATTATGTTCAGTGTTGAACTGCATCTCCTGAAACACCAGTTTTTCATAACCATTTTTCAGAAAGGTTCGAGCTCATCAGTGTTCTGTACTTGCATTGATATCTCATCACTGACCAATCATTTATGTTCATTCGATCAACATGATTTTTGAGTTTAATATCCTTATATCTACATTGATTTTCTCTTACAGTACCATTAAAAAGTGTGGTGATATGAACATATAAACGTTTGTCCCATGACCTACCTCAATACTGTTTTAAATGTGACTCATGCGTCAGGTACTGGTTTATGTACTTTGATCTACATTATTTCCGCAATAGCTTGTGATACCACTCGACTGATCAAACCAAAATTGGTGAAACTAGGGTTCAAATCTGTGACCTATTAACTGAAAGCGTCCTAAATCCCGACTGTTGCTGTTACTTTGACGTGGTGGTCGAGTTTGCCTATCGTGATGAAGCAATCGGGCTATACTGGCTGGAACGATTGTTCCTCAAGGTCCTACCATGCCAGATAGATGCAGGTCCAGTTGCCTAACAGAGGGCATTGTTGTCAACATTTAATTAAATTGTAAGGTCGCGAAAACCTCTCAGGTTTAGACATTAATTATACATGTAAACGTGTAAACGTGTTTGAACTGAAATAGTTTTAATTGTTCTCTTATCATAAGAATCTCAACCTCAAGAAAACAACAAAATTTATCAAAAGTTTATCACGAAATAAAACTGACTCTTTTTTCAATAAAAACCATTTACATTATTTGAAATTGTATAATCGCGTTTCTTTAAATATAAACTACGTTTTTAACGTGACCTCAGTAAAATTTAATGTCGTTTCACCATAATGGATGACTTCCGGTGACTAGCGGTAACATTTTTTTTATTTAGTCACCCATTATTAAAATAATTTATCTTTTTTACCGGTCTTTTTCTTTTTAGGAGGATAAAAAGGGTCCCACTATTAATGTTTCTGATTGTGACAATCGTCGTGGCTCTGATGGCAGTACTGGCGACTCCATACCCAATAAACAACCTAAACTGGAAGAATCAGTTGATTCAACAATACTAGATTCTACTGTAAAGTCTTCCAGCTTGTCACGTACCCGATCAGTTCCGAATACCAAGCAGTTACAGGAACATACCTTAACTAAAGGTCAAACAAATGCCAAGTCATATGGTAGCCCAATGAGAACTCGGTACCGTGATACATTAACAGCAAATGTTAGTTATCTGTTATATTTACTAACCATTCTCAATTTAATTAATACAGCATATTATTTAAGTTTATTAATTCATGAAATCTATTGAGTTCGTAACATTGTGAATTGACTCTTCCTGGAGCCTTTGCTCTTTTATGTGATTTATTACACAAACTATTCTATGGTAACTATTAAAAATTTGTAATCCTAAGGTTATGCTTGAATTTCAAGTGCAAATATGCGATTTTAAAGGACGTGTTTTAAGATGGTAGAAATTTCATTTTTAATATACAAGTAACTGGTAAAAATTGTCAATATGCATTACACGACATCGTTATATAGCCTCGAGTAACCGATTGTGACGTTCTGTGAAAATGTTTTCGTACTGATCTCTCATCAGTCAAATAGGCATATGTTTTCTCATTATGTATTTTGAATGACTTTTAAAATTCAATCCTCAAATCTCTTATTACATATTTCACTTTTGACTCCATTGACTTGGTTTCTAGTAACTGATATTTTAGAACTATTTCAAATCAGCCTTACTGGAATCCAACAAGGATTAAGAACTGGTTATCCATAATTCACTAATTACATCTGAATTGCTTAAGTCGATACTCAACACAAATTTAAATTTATAAACACTAAATAGTTGTTTCAAATGTTTCCTGAGGCAATTTAGCATTATACATTCGTGATCATTTACAAACAGAGTTTATTTTCTGTATGCATACGTTAGAGACAGAAATTTCAATCTAAGTTGACTGATAATTTAACTGTGTTTATACCTTATTATGTGTATTAATCAGACTTCGAGGCATTTAAGTAATTTGGAGATGCGTTACTGTCATATCAGGTCTTATTCAGACTGAACTCTTTTACCAAGTATAATTTCTTTTATGATCGAAATCTGCAAATATATTCTCTATAGTTAGTAGCAACTAGATACGTTGTATTATCCTTTCACTCTTTATGTAGATTACTCGCTAACTGGTCGGAGAAATCACAGTGGTACGATAATAATTGTTTTAAGATAAAGTATTGTGTTTAGGTGATTATTTAATTATTTGGTGCCTTTGTGTGTGTTTTTAACACTAACATTTAAGATTTTTTATGTTTAGTAAATAACAAATAGCATATATTAGTAAAACTTGCTAAATAGTGTAGTAGTTGTAGTATTACGCCTTGTTTTTATAGCGCTAAAATTCTTCAAGAATTTATTTTGTTACTTTTAACATTAATCTATAAAATGCTGACCGTAAAGAAAAAAAACAAGCATTTCTGTTACTGTATTAAAAATACCACTTTCATGTTTTGTGATAAACAAACGTCAGTTTATTGTATCTGGGATTGTTTGCATAACATTAAGTTATTTTGAATGTAATATTATAGAGGCTTATAAAAAAGAACTTTAACAATAAAAAGATATTATTATTCATCATCTATATATTAGTTGACTTTTAATGAAAATTATTTCGTGGTTAAGAATTTCTTTATTCCTCATGCTGTCTGCTTAATTGTTACTTTAAATCAGTGTGACTGTAAACTTGATCAGTCGATCAATTAAGTGGTGATATTTCTTTATCAGGCATTTAATATGTCCAAAAATCAATGGTTTATTGATTGCATAGCTTTGTAGTAAGTAGTATTAGTTTCACAGTAATTTTTCCAGAGATACTGTTGGCCTGTGCTTTAAATACCGTAAGAATCTGTGATTAAGAAAGTAATGAATGTTTTGCGCTTGATTTTTATAAGATTATAACATTACATAAATAAATTTGTTCAGTTGTCTTAGGATTTCATGAAAACCTTCCTTAGTGTATAGTCATAAATAATGTACATGTTTAACCTGAAGTGGTTTGGTCTTATTTGGTCCTCTCCTGTATACGGAATTTTCTTGTGTTCTGGTATATTTTCCGATTATATGTGCGCAGCCAAGGTTCATGAGAAACGATAGTGTTTCATCCATCATAAATTAAAAAAAATATAGATTTATCACACTTGTGTTAACGTTTGTCGAATTAATCCCTTACAATTTAACTTTAACTTGTCTAATATATGTTAAGGAAATATCGGTTCTTAATTTCACCTAGCTAACTGCACCGTAGATTATTTACGATCAGATGACTAGTGACTATTTTAAGCATAAGTCTTGCAATCTAAATGATAAAAATAACTTAATTTGAAGTGCACATACCAAAACTATTAGTTTGATATTGTCAGTGTAAAATTAAGTGCAACAATTAACTAATTATAAGTAAGCTAGCAAGTAGCCAAAAAGAAACAGACACCGAAGTGTGTGAAAAATCATTAGTTGTCAATGAAAAATGTATCCAGATAACATGACATACCCATCATAGAAATATTATAATTCTCTATAACTAAGATTGTACTTTGCTCATTTTCCGTTTCATCTGTTGTGAAAATCAATTATATATATATATATATATATATATATATATATATATATATATATATATATATATATATATATATATATATATATATATATATATATATATATATATAACTTAAGCTACTTGATCATGAATATGTTATATCTCAGATTCAGTGGTAATAAGATTGATTCTCCACATTTTTTTCTTACTTTGGTTCGATAATGATAGTTCATTGAACAATGTCTTTCTGTTTGTAAGTAATATCTGCTTTGTCCATTTCCCGAGAATTATTACCATTTAGCGTTCGAGTGATATCTCTTATAGATAATGATAAATGTCGTTATTTCTTCGTTGTTGTCGTTCAAATTCTTGCATTAATTAGCTGCAGTAGAGTTAAAAATATCAACGTTCAATTACTACTATGAAATTACTCTTTACCTCAAAATAAAACGAAATGCCTATCTAGACTATAGTTTTACAACTGGACAAATTTCTTAGCTTTTTCATGTAGTTTATATGCACAACTAGTTACAGTCTACTAGAACTGAAGGTAGACAATAAAATTTAAAACCATTTGCTTCATGTAAAGTTTCTAGTTGATTCTTTTTAGAGTATAGTCCTTTCTGATACGAGTATTACTTAAAATCTTACTTTTTTAGTCATTTCATGAAATATACATAGCGGTTAACTGACTAGTTACTTTAAGCTCAACAACAATAAAAAAACCTTGTCAATTATGTGAAGCTACATTATCATACAATATTCGGATAATTATTCTTCCATAATCAATATCGATTACACAGTGATAACTGAAAGTCTTCTTAAAGTAAAGACTTTTATGAATATTCTTGTTTTTATAACAGCCAACGTTTACTTACGCGCTTTTTTGTAAAAAGACATTAAGATTTTGATATGATATCAGGCGAATCGATCATTTAACCTGATTAGTATGCTTCATGTGCTATCCGCTAATTTTTAGACTAACCTAATGGAATTTACTAAACCACACATAAAATAACTAGTTAAATGTCTACTAGTTTTACGTACTATGTTGAATCACCATTCTTTCAATTGTTGATTTGTGTCAGCTTTATTCAGTTCACAGAAAAAAAGCATAGTGAGTATTAATCTCTGAGTTTACATTTGATTCAAAGCCATATTAACTAATGTTTTCGAAGCAAGATACATAATATATTCTAGTCGAATGAACTAAACATACTCAAAAAGACGTGATATAGGTGTACTCTTATTTTATTTATTCTTTTTTAAGTTACGAATTGACGAAAGCGTATTTTAATCGTTTATTTTCAGTTCTACGTAATTTAATGGCATATTCTCATGTATATTTCTTCTCTCTATTTGTCAAAACAACTTTTCAGGATGGAGTTGATACAGACTCAGGGAGTGATAATGATGCCAACGGTGAAAATGATAGTGAATCTGATTCCATTACTGAATAACTGTGTGCATCAGAACATTGTGTTTGTAATTATAGATCAAAATTTTGTTTCAACATTTATAAGTAGTATATGTAGCTATGCGAAAATAAATTTTTTGTTTCGCTTCTTTCTTTTTTTTTAATTCCCTCGTGTTTTTATAAACTTGTGTCTTTATTTTTCCATCTATTCACGCCTAGAAACAGCCATTGTGAATATTTTTCATGTTTGTGAATAAATGTGTATATTTATCAACAATGTTTTAATTTGCTTGTTTGTTTTCAAGACATGTTATGGTTGGCTATAATTCTTTTTGATTGCGTAATTTTTACAAACATTAACAGTTCATACTTAATTATATACATCATATCAGTACCACTTATGAAAGATAAGGAAAAAAAATCAGACCAATTCGCTTCTGCGATGAGCTGTTACATGATTTCTTTCAGAAGTACCATCATGCAATTCAACCTGATGCGATATGTACAAGTAATTCTAATCAGTTTGTGACTCACATAAGTGTATTTAATTTATTATTTGAACTGTTCGCCACTAGTGTTTTAATCTTCCTTTGATTGATTAAAATACTTGTGTGTTGCACACGTTACACCTGATTATAAGTATTACCCCAACCAGCACAAGGCTATCTTTTTCGTTAAATTATTCAGCCTATCTACATTGAAAGGCTTGTTGTTCGACATTCTGTACCATTTAAAGAACTGGTTAGGTATCATTGAGATTGGAAGTAGGCACTTTTCCGTTGTAACAATTCATAGGATATTGATTACTTGGCGGTGAATTTATACAGTGGATTCGACTGGTGGTTGGTAGCCCTTACTTACTTTATTTAAGCCTGCTACTCATAATAGAGCATAGGCAGCCGATCAGCATTCTCCAACCCACTCTGTCCTGGGCCTTCTTTTCTAGTTCCACCCAATTCTTGTTCATTTTTCTCATGTCTATTTTCATTTCCCGGCGTAATGTGTTCTTTGGTCTTCCTCTCTTCCTTTGGCCTTGAGGATTTCATGTGACGGCTTGTCTTGTGAAGCAATTGGATGCTTTCCTCATTGTGTGTCCTATCCACTTCCAGCTATGGGATCTGGTTTGTTCTATCCTGCAGTAGGTTATTGCTAATAGTGTCTGGCCAACGGATCTGAAGTATTTTGCGTAACCAGCTGTTTACAAACACTTGTATCTTCTGGATGATGGCTTTCGTAGTTCTCCAGGTTTCCGCCCCGTACAGTAGAACTGTCTTGACATTTGTATTGAAAATCCTGACCTTGGTGTTGGTTGACAGTTGTTTTGAGTTCCAGATGTTCTTCAGTTGTAAATACACTACTCTTGCTTTTCCGGTCCGTGCCTTCACATATGCATCAGATCCATCGTGTTTATCAATGATGCTGCTCAAATATGTAAAGGTTTTTACATCTTCCAAATCTTCTCCGTCAATTGTGATTGGATTGGTGCATGCTGTGTTGTATCGGAGAATCTTGCTTTTCCCTTTGTGTATATTGAGATCTACTGCTGCTACACTGGTCGTCTCCTACATTTGTTGTTGCGTTTGGGATAGAAGGGCCAGATCATCTGCGAAGTCTAGATCGTCCAACTGCATCCTAGCTGTCCACTGTATCCCGTGCTTCCCTTCAGATGTTGACGTCCTCATGATCCAGTCGATAACCAGGAGAAAGATAAAGGGTGAGAGTAAGCAACCTTGCCTAACACCGGTCTTTATTTCGAACGACTTTGTCAACTGTCCTCCATGCACGATTTTGCAGTGTAATCCGTCATATGAATTCTGTATGACATTGACTATCTTCTGAGGCACGCCGTAGTATCGAAGAAGCTTCCATAGTGTTGTTCTGTCCACGCTATCAAATGCTTTTTCGTAGTCAATGAAGTTGATGTAGAGTGATGAATTCCATTCAATTGATTGTTCCACAATGATCCGTAGAGTTGCGATTTGGTCTGTACACGATCTATCCTTACGGAATCCTGCCTGTTGGTCACGAAGTTGGGCGTCTATGCAGTCCTTCATCCTGTTCAACAATACCCTATTGAAGACTTTTCTCGGTATTGAGAGAAGAGCGATGCCCCTGTAGTTATCACAATTGCTGAGATCGCCTTTCTTCGGTATTTAATCAGGAGTCCTTCTTTCCAGTCTTTTGGTACTTGTTCCTCATCCCAAATCTTATTGAAGAGAATGTGGAGTATCCTTGCAGTTACCGCCTCTGCTGGAATGTTGTCTGGTCCTGCTGCTTTGCCACTCTTGATTTGTCTGATGGCCATGCTGATTTCTTCAATTGTTGGTGGGCCAACATTGGTTGGGAGGTCCGTGGGTGCTGCTTCGATGTTGGGTGGGTTCAGTGGAGCTGGTCGATTCAAGAGTTCTTTGAAGTGTTCCACCCACCTGTTTTGTTGCTCTTCAATGTTGGTGATTACCTCGCCTTCCTTGCTTTTCACTGGTCGTTCTGGTTTACGGCGATTTCCAGAGAGTTTCTTTGTCGTGTCATACAATTGTCTCATGTTTCCCTCTATTGCAGCCTTTTCCGCCGCCGTTGCTAAATCTTCCACATATTTACGTTTGTCAGTTCTGATGCTCCTCTTCACTTGTTTGTTTACTTCTGTGTATTCAGCTTGTGCCTTGGCTTTTTCTGCTCTTGTTCGACTGGTATTGATTGCTGCCTTCTTGTTCCTCCTTTCTCGAATCTTATCCAGTGTGTCAACAGTGATCCATTCCTTGTGATGGTGCTTCTTGTGACCCAGGACCTCATGACATGTTGAAGTGATTGCCTCTTTTATCCCTTTCTAGTTTCTCTCCATATTAGTTTTTTTCTCCATTGAGTAGATCATGAAAGGCCTGGAATCTATTGCTGAAGGATACCTCGAATTTGTTGAGTTTGTCAGTATCCCGAAGAAATGCCGTATTAAAACTTTGTGATATTGTCTGCCCCATTTTCCAGTGCTTCTTGAGTTTCAATTTCATCTTGGCGACTAGCAAGTGATGATCTGAGGCTATATCAGCTTTTTCCTTGGTTGTCGCGTCCTTCATCGTCCTCCTGAACTTTTTGTTGATGCAGATATGGTTGATTTAGTTTTGCGTAGTGTGGTCCGGTGAAGTCTATGTGGTTTTGTGAATGCGTTTGCGTGGGAATATAGTACCGCCTATGACCAGTTTATTGAAGGCACATAGGTTTACGAATCTCTCACCATTTTCGTTCCTTTCTCCCAGTCCGTGTCGTCCCATGATGTCTTCATATCCGGTGTTGTCCATTCGGACCTTGGCATTGAAATCTCCCATCAGAATGGTCAGGTCCTTTGTTGGGCACTTCTCGACGATTGACTGCAGCCTATCGTAGAATTGACCTTTAGCGTCTTCATTGTAGTCGTTGGTAGGTGCATAGCATTGGATGACTTTCATTGAAATGCCCTCTTTCTTTGTTTTGAATGAGGCTTTGATGATCCTTGGTCCATGAGATTCCTATCCTATAAGTGCATTTTGTGCTTGTTTGGACAGCATCAATGCAACTTCTTGTGTATGTGGGGCATTTTCTTCATGGCCAGAGTATAACAGAAGTTCCCCTGAAGCTAGTCGTTGTTGTCCAACTTGCGTCCAATGTGTTTTACTGATCCCAGGCACCTCTAGGTTGTATCTTCTCATTTCTGCAGCAATTCGGAAGGCTCTCCCGGCGTCCCACATTGTACGAACATTCCATGTACCTAAATAAATGGTTGATCTGGTTGTTAGAAGGGACATCGGCCTCGTAACTTCCGAAGGAATTCGGCTTTCATCATGAGGCGTCATAGTTCTTCTAAATGAAGACCTTCTGACTCCCAGGGCAGAGTTTGAAAGGCTTGAATAATTTTTTCTGGTTAGCGTTCTTTTAGTGAGTTAGTTTTCTACGGGATGGGGACGCTAACCCCATACCCAACCCTCCTCCTTTATCCGGGCTTGGGACCTGCAGTAGCCCTCGGAGGGACTCCTGGCGGAGTTGGTAGCACTATTAATGCGAAAAAGAAACTTTCATTAACAGTCGTAGTTCTCAGCAATATCAATAAGTCTTTGGAGGTCTTTTATGGAAGTTGTTACATCAGTGTCCTATGGAAATTTTATCAACTGTATTCTACTTTGTGTTCATCATAATGTCTTGTAGTTTCTTCCGTATATTCACAATGTATAACTTCATTTAAACTCTGTAAGTTGGTAGTTAGTTGGTTACAGATTGTTCAGGCCATGTTCAACTATCAAGATAATGGTAAATTTGATAAGTTGTTGATGATTTATTCTGAAAGATTATTACCTATAAATTTGTTTATTTAATGTTCGCTTACTCATTGTCTGCAGTCTAAATGACATACTGGATGCGTTCTACCGAGAGTGTTACCAAACATGTGGGTGTAAGAACTCTCCTAATCATATGTTTGTATACCAAGGGTATTGTGTTTATTGAAATAGAAGATATCTTTTATTACTGTATTCTTATTTCAACGAACTAAAGAAATGCTAGGTTTCCTAGTTTTGCTCAGAAGCCTACCTTCTCGTCTACAACATCGCCAACAAGGACAAATGTAGTTTTATTAGGCTCCTGCCTGAACTATCCCAACATTAAACATGTACATATTATTAGTGTTAACGATTATTCAGTGGTACAAAACTTAGATTCTCTTGTTAAAACATGAAGTCCGACTAACCAGTAATGTCGAAACTTGTTTATCTGGATCACGAAAATCCCAAAAGCACCCAAGTTTCAATATTTACCCGTTGTATACGTAGGATCTGATAACATTTGGTGTGAAGCGTGATGATGGGTTTACACAATGATTGGACAGTTTTGGGTATCCAGAGAAGAGAAGTTAAAGACAGTTGGGATAAGGTGTAGATCCACTCGTATGTGATATTGAATTTGTTGGAGGGGACTAATGACAAATATGGCGTTCAATGAGGATCAAGTTTCGACAAACTATCTCGGAACATCTACAGTTATAGTGGCCCAAGATTACTTGCGAGAAGTACTTACATTGCATGCAGTAAGGTAAGAACTAATACTCTGTGATGTGCTCCTACTGTTACAGGTCACTAGAAAGTGCAGTAATTCCTGTGTGATAATTTCAGGTGTATCATTTCGATAAATGTTGTTTCAAAATCCTTATACCTTTAATCGATGATCTACTAACTTGAGTTTAAGAAAACTGGATCTTAAGGAATTAGATACCTTTGACCACCGATCATCCATCATCAAGTACTAACTCTCTTCA